ACCTTTGTGTAGTGCATTGAGTATGATTTATATGTCTGACCTAAGTGTAGGAGAGCCTACGCCTGTGTATGTGCAAGTGTGTGAGAAAGCGTAAATAAAGACTAATCAAACAAGAGTGATTGCTGGCACTAAATGAAAGAAAAGAGAACTTTTGTAGTCAGCTCACGCAAAGATGAAGAAACGAGGATGCGAATGATGTTAAGAAAGTGCAAGTAAGTAGGACAAGCGGTTGGCGGGTGCTGTAATGGTTAGGTCTGTTCCTCCTTTCCTATCAAACATTTATCGTGCTTATCTCCCCTCATTCTTTTTTTTTGTTGTTGCTTTTTTTTGTTGTGTTTGTTACTCTCTGGTAAAACCTCTAATTTTCGGCACTTATATAATACCTTTACATGTTTTGTATTACAAGTGCCGTAAAACTCTCATTGAAGCTAAAACACAAACAAGTATGAGAAAAAAATAATGTAATGAGTTAGTCTCGGCTATTACTAATAATTTCCAATAGATCTAGTCTTTGTACACCCAGATAGATAATGAATCATTATAGTTACTTGTCTAAGCGATGAATGAGAAATGGCCAAACCTACCCTGAGTCGGGGTTAAACAAGGTTAAAACCACGGCCCTGTATGAGGCCTCGGTGGTCACTGCTGTTTCCCATACAGTGCCCTCTTCAGCTTCTGTACCAGGGACCTGCTGGGTGGTATCTATAAATTGATGAAAAACGTTTTAAAAACTTTTTGTTTGTTTGTTTGCTTGTTTGTTTGTTTGTTTGCTTGTTTGTTTGTTTGTTTGTTTGTTTGTTTGTTTGTTTGTTTGTTTGGATGAGAAGGGGCAGGGGCTGGCTGTTATTATATCCTTTTTTGAGGGGGAGGGGGTAGATTACCATAGAAAATTCATTTGGAAATATAACATAAACGAGAAGAAACAAAGAACAAGGACAAGCAGAGAAATGTACAAGATCAGGGAGTGTAGGTCTACTTTACTTGAACAGACAGTTCAAAATGGGGCGCAGGAACTGGTGGTTGGTGAAGGGCCTCAGTTGAAAGCCCTGATGCACGTACATAATACACTGTTCCTGCACCAAACAAGTCATCTGCACCTCGAAGTTGCCGAGTCTTTTTTCAACGAACTACATGTATGTGGTCTTGGGAATAGAGAGCTGTTGGCATCCATGCCCACATCTAGGGTCTTCGTAGTTGATGCTTTAATTCCACAAATACTATTAAGTTTGTCGGTAAAAGTAAAGTACCCTCCCCCCACACACATCCCTCATGGTGTCTTCCGGCATCCAGACAGTCACAGCCCGGAATTCCTTGTTTATAAATTAAAAGGTGGTGCTCATTGGAGATTCGGTTCGGTTCAGTTCAGTTCAGTTCGGTTCGGTTTCTGGCGGCTTCAGTGTACACTAAAAAAATGCGCATGCTTCAAACCAATCGTCCCACTCGCGCCTTGAAAACAAACGCATTTGTTTATGAAGGTCATCGTTGGCTTCATTTGGTATGTGCCACGATGGTAGCTTTTTTCCCCCGTGGAGGAAAATCTGATTCGTCCCGACGACAAAACCGAACGGAACTGAGTCGAACCGACCTTGCCAATGGACACCGGACACAACTACATGACCAGTCCACTATAAAAGTTATTGCTGAGATACAACTACTGATCGAAGAAAACTCAGGACACGGAGATTGTGGTTGTATACACGGATGGATCTGTTAAACGAGGGGAAAATCTGGATGGGGCTTCTCAGCAAGAGTGAGTGGCAGATTGGTGCAGGAACAGCAGAGAGCGTGCGATAAGACAACATCTAGCATGAGAATGGAGATAGAGGCAATCACTCAGGCTCTCAAATGGGTCACAACAACTCGACAAGCACATGTGATCTTTGTCACAGACTCTTGGAGCACTCTGAGGAAGATTGAGAGTGGGTACCTTAGAGTTGAATGGACAGAGCTCCTGAAGAAGACAACACTGAAAAAGATCGCGTGGGTCTTCACCCCAGGCCAATTCTGGAGTCTAGGGCAATGAGCGGGCTGATGAGCTCGTTGGGAAAGCAAAACCTGAAGGGAAGCTGTGCCCTGGCAAACCTGAAATTGTACGTTCAGTCAGGGAAAAACGAGAAAAAGAAAAAGAAGAGTCGGAATACCATCATCTTGATCAACTTCGTGAGCTTGGAATTGGATGGGGCGCCTGCAGAAGTTCAAGACTTAGTGGGAGGAGCTGAAGGCTATGGAATCAACCAGTGCTTGGAACCGTCAGCATCTACACACTTCGAGATGTGCTTCTTCAGGGGACGTAGCGCTTATGGGGATGCCCCTTGTGCTGTGACGTCGGTCCTTCACACAAGTAAACACAAGTAAACAAAAGTTACTCCATATAAATTCCATAGTGAAAACCCTCCAAAACAGCATAGACAGCTCGTTATACGTTGACGACTTTTTGATATGCTGCCGTTCAAAAAATCCTCATTTGAGATCTATGGAAAGCTGCACAAACTTGAAACGTGGG